ATAGTCCCAGCTACTTGGGAGGCTGAGGTAAGAGAATTCTTAAGCCCAAGAGTTTGAGGTTGCTCAGGTGAGCTGTAATGCCATGGCACTCTACCTAGGATGACATGGTGAGACTGTGTCTCAAAAAAAGACTGTGTCTTTCTTTTTCTTGTGAGTGGATGTCAGTACCACTCTCATTCATTCATTCTTTTCTGTTGTGGGTCTGTTGCACATCTTTGAGAGGGCTAAATGCTCCCAGTTTGAGCTGCTAAGACTAGTCCCCTTTATCTGTGGTGGATATTTCCAAGACCCCCAGTGGATACCCAAAATCTTAGATAGTACCCAAATCCAATATTGCTGCCAATGAGAATATATTTCTGTTCATGTCTTCTACCCACAGATTGAATGCCTTTTTCATCTTAACTAAAGACTTAACCACACTGTGGCCGTACCTTTTGCAGTATGAGATGTGACAGCAAAACTAATACTAATTTCTTTTTCCTTCATCACAATTTCATGAGTAGAAAATTAGTTCTTACCAAATTTTAGCAAACTTAGATTTTAGCAACTTCATACATAATTTTTTTTCTTTTCTTACTAAGGCAAGAACGTTCACCTTTTTGCTTGTGGAAAGCAATTTGTGGCTTCTCTTTGGCATATCTGAATAGTTAGCATCACCACTCTTGCTCATAGGGGCCATTATTAGCTAAAATAAGTTACTCAAGTATTGTGATACCATGACGGTCCATCTAATAACTGAAATGACTGCTAAGTGACTAACTGGCAGGAACATAGGCAGCTTGAAAATGCTAGACAACAGGATGGTTCAGACCCAGGTCGGATGGCAGTGGCTGGTGTGAGGTTTCACTGCCTCACAGAATGGCAAGCAATTGAAAGCTTATGTATTCTTTATTTCTGAAATTTTTCATTTACTATTTTCAAACTGTGATTGACCATGGTAATGTGAAACTGCAGAAAGCAAACCAGTGACAAGGGGAACTACTGTATTCTCAGATCCATTCCTATGCTTTCTGTGAATCCTGTCTGCTATTTGGGGGGTTTGCTATTCTCAGGCCCTTCAGACATCACTCTTTGCTTCTTTCTTCTGCCTGCTGCCCTGACTCAGACACTAGGAAGATCTTGTGGTGGCTACTGACTTCTTTCCACCCTGTTTGCATTTTGAAGTTTGTGGGGCTATCCTAAAAATATGTAGGTTGGTAGATGTCTTGCACAAGTTTTTTATGCTATGGAACAGAGAGGAAGACACTGTGTATACTAATCAATATTGCTGCTTCTTGTTGACGGCTCCTTCAGTGAGGAGCCTACTGTTTTCATTTTTAATTTTATTTGTTTTTCATGTTTTATTATTTGCAGAGTTTGATTTTGCCATTTAGAAACATGACTATGACTCCTGAGCCTGGGTCATGTATTGCTGTTTGATAGCACTCTGGGACTGTGCTACGTTTCTTTAAGCCAGGCTTTGAAGTCTCCTGAGGTGCCCCTTGCTACCATGTAGGATGTGTTTGTGTTCACTCTAGCATTGCTTTCTTATGATGCCTGTTTTATTTGTGATAGGAGAGCTGCAGCCTGGGCCTTTTATCAACAAGCATCTCCTTATGTCTTTTGTGCTTAAACTATAGAGAAAATGTAGGATATGGTTCTTTCCCTGAAGATTTTGTTCTGTTCATCTTGTCTGTCTTTGGATTGAGATAGTAAGCTAGAGAACTGATTTTTTGTCAATTCTTTTCCTTCTCCAAATCTAAGTAACTTAAGCTTATCTTGTAGGCGATATAGATAAAAAATATGCCAGTTAGAGATAAGTGCATCGTCAAATTATAACCCTCATTTGGTTTGGAATTTGGTTTTATGTTGTTGTTAGAAACTTCCAGGATTCTAATGAAAGTCTGAATTAATCAATGTAGACCCCTGAGGAATGTGTGTGTGTGAAGTCGTCCAAATGGCTGTACATGCTTACGCAGAGTTCCTGAGACATGTTGATTTCTTCCTGGATTGAGTTTAGGACGGCAGTAGAGGAAATTTCTCACACCTTTCTAAGTATAATATCTATCATTTAAACTGGCTAAAAAGACAAATAACAACTCTGTGATTTTATATTTTAGCCTATTTTATTTTGAATAAAACTCCTTGGGCAGTCCCTAAACTAAAATTTATTTTCTTGCAACTTATCTAATAAGTGCCCTATTTCAAAACAAAGATATAAAATGGCCAGTTACATCTATAAACAAACCATTTGTAGATGTAAGATGATTGCTTTCTTCTCAGAGTGATGGTAAAGAACAGAGCTTGGGAATTCATCTGCCTGTTCCTAAAAGCCACCTGTGCCATTTTGTAATATGTATGTATGTGACACGGGACAGTTTTCAAGCCTCTTTATACCTCTGTTTCCTCAGGTGTAGCAGTCATTGAAAGGGAGGCACTCCAGCACCACCAAGGCTTGTACGGAAGGTTTTTATTGGTGGGGGAGGGAGGCTGCAGAGTAGCACCAAGGAGGAGAGGAAAAGAGAAAAGAGGAGAGAAAAGAGGGGAGAGAGATGAGGGAAGAGTGGGGAAGAAAAGAGAGAGAGAGAGCAGAAAGGAGAGAGGGGGGAGAAGGGGAGAAAGAGAGAGAGGGAGGAGAAATGTACTCTTATATAGGGACGTCTCAGAATGGTGACAGGATGGTGGGAGAACCAATAAGGAGTTATTGCTTCCGGGGAAAGAGCTGTTAGGGGCGGGCAGTGGGTAATTGGAACAGAGATGAGGTAAGCCACTCCTTGTGCTTGGGGAGGAGTTGTAACTTTAAGAGCAGGAAGAGGCCTTTTGGGGAAGGGGCTTTCTGAGGCAATTATCTAACACTCATGGCACCTGTATCAGAGGATTGACGTGAAGATTAAATGAGACAATGCATATATATGGCAAATTTTTAACTGTTGGTTTCATGAATGATAATTGAGTTTTATGATGTATTGGGCAATGTACTGGGCAATGGGAGTATTATAAAACCTTCCATAGGGGGCTTTACAGTGTAGATGGCTTAATGAATTCTCTACTTATCACGTTACAGAATATAAATTTGCAACGAGGGTTGAGTGTGGCCCTCCATGAACATATACTAGGGACTTGAGCTGCCTGGATGACTAAGGAACCTTTCCCATGAGAAGACTGAGTGAGATATAAAGAAAAATAAATAGGATGTATTCGCTAGGTGAAGGTGTGTGTTTGCTGCCTGTGTGCATAAGTACAAATAGGGTGAGGAAACAAGAAAGAGTGTGGAGAATGTCTCAGTGGCAAGAGGGAACTTGGCGTACATGGGGAACTGCAATGAGGCCAAAGTGTGAAGGGGAGAGCACAGTGGCTGAGGTTATTGGAGATGGTGCAGGAAAGAAGGGTCACTGGGCCTTGTTCAGGAGTGTGGTCCAGCAAAAAGGTGTCAGATATTTGAATTCCAACAAGATATTTGTAAATACCTATCATCATCATCATCATCATCATTACTATTATCATTCTTTTTATTCCCTAGCAGTTTATTCATTGGCTCTTTTCCCCAATCTCTACTATTGCTCTTCTCTGAACGCTCACTGCTCAATCCTTCGATTCAGGAATAAAGCTGAGAAGATAGCTTTTGTTTTCTTTTAATCCATTTTATTTTTTGAAGTAGAATTGGCTTCTGTATATCTTTAGGCAAGCAAAGTGACAAACAATTGCCAGAATGTTACCTACTGAGACACATCAATATTTTATGCTTCGGAGCCTCTGTAAAATGCTCAAATTCTGTCCTTTGTTATTCATTTAATTCAAGCTGAAGCAAAAGTGATTAGAAATTTTGCTATCCCATGTTGGCATGAAGCTCTGAGTGATGTCAGAGGTTTTGCTCTCACCCTGAACCAGGTTTTAGAAACCTGAGGCCGTGTGAAAGAGCAAGAGGAGCTGGACAGGTGGCTGAGTGTGTCTGCGTTTGTGTGTGTGCACACGTGTGTCGTGTGTATTTTCCTTCTTAGGATCTGAAATTGGTGGATGAAGAACTAATGTGGGAGCTGTGAAGCTTCTTAGACTTTAAGGAGTCTTCTTCCTATTCTAAAATAAGGGAATAACTTAGTATGTCAAACCATCTAACTACAATTGTCCTGAGTTTTCTGTAAAATCTAGGACACTGTGGAATGCCCTGGGGCTCACACGGGCTTGCTCCATTGAGGTTTCCTCCTCAGGCACTAATTATCTCCTGCTTCACACCTTTTCCTCTAGCGTCTTTGCTGTGGATAAAGATGTTTGCACTGAGTTTCTATCTAGGATGAGAATGGTTAGACATCTTAGCAAACGTGTTGTTTTTTCTAATTACGACTCTCATTATGTATAACTTATGTAATAACTTTACATTTCACTGGCTCTTTCCAAATATGATTATACAACTAAAAAGTGCTTTAAGTATTAGGAATTGTCTCTAGCCAGCTATATAATGAGTATGGTTTTGGATACTGGGTTTGGGCCCATGAGTATCTTCTTCCCCCGTCGTGTTATTATTGCAGAGAGAGCCTATTCCATAAGAAGCACAAATGTGATGGGAGCTCAGAAATCAGCTGAAGTTTTTTGATCTTTATGTGATGTATAAAGTTCAATATCATTTCCTTAGGAAAAATAATAGCTTTAGCCTATATAACTCTTAAATATAACATATTTAGTTTAAATAATTTTGGCTAAAATAGTAAAATAAGCAACAGATGTTTTAACTTTTCTTGATTTAGTTCTGTTCTTTTACATAATAGGTAATTTGCTTTCTCTTGAGTGGACATACTTACTACTTGGCCAGGATGTTAATAAAATAAGCAGGGAGTTATGGATTAGAATATTTGGTCCATGGTTGCATTAATGAATAGTGGATAATGGCAAGTGCCCTTGTAAATCAATTCTTCACATAGAACGTGAACCCACTGTGTTGCGGGTATAGTCATAATGACTGACATGTAACATGTAATGTATGTTAAGTACACAGATAACCACACTGGAAAATATTATGTGTGTTCCAGGACCTGATCTTCAGGTTTGCATATCCAAAAAACCTACATGTTGCACCAGGAGGATGGAGGAGAGATACCAAATTGCGGCCCGCCAAGATATGCAGCAGGTGCTTCAAGCATCCAGCTCCACTTTAAAGTTTCTAATTTCTCGAAACGCAGCTGTTTTTCAAGGTAAGTATATCTTGAGTTCTGAAACTATAGACCAGCATTATTACATAATTTCCCTATGATACCCATATTGGTGAACTTGGGTAATGGATTTATTTCCTTGTAAAATGAGATTTTAGCTTTTCCTAACCTTCAAATGTGGTTTCTGGGGTCACCCTGAGCATGTATATTGAATTGGAGTGAGGAAATAAATTGTTATATTAGTGAGATGATACTTGGAAATATGTATCCCTGTAAGGTTCCTCCAGGTTCCCCAATATTCTGACCCCGTAGTTTTACTTTAAAATGAATAAATATAATTATTAGATTTCATGAAAAAATTCTATAACATAACATTTTAAAGTGGGTAATTATAGATTTATTTTTAAAAGTATGATTGGAAGAAATACTTGCCTTTATTTTCGTCCTGAAACCTCATGTGGTTTTCATGAGAACACCAGTGTAATATATCAAAGTGCAAGCAAAGTCTGATAAATAGTAAAATAGGGAATATTAATTGGATGTTTAAGGGTCAGCTAAGAACAGAACTCTAACTTAATTCAAAAATATGTTCAGAAATAAAATTAATGGGTTATAAAATCACAAAGCACATTGAAAAATAGATGAACTTTTTCTTATTTTAGTCATCTCTTCTATAAAATTTCTTATTACTCTAATAAAATAGCTTAGTTTATTTTTCCTTTTATAAAGCATCAGCTATTCTGTATATGACTAGAATGAAAATGTCTAGATTATACTGCTTATCACACAAATGTATTGCTTTTGTTCAGCATAGAATATAACTTGTTAGTATTTCTTCTTAATAAGTGTATTCATTCAGTATTTAAATTGCTTTGTTTACATATATAACTAAATCATAGGCATGATTAATTTTTGAAACACTAAAATAAACACAATAAATCAGAATAAAAGTTAAAATGTGGTTCATGATGAATTGATTTTATTTTGCAGTAACTATGAAATGTCAGGATTAAGTTGTTATTAATTTAGAAATTTTTTTAGGTGCCTTAGGAAACTATTTCTGTAATGATATTCATTCATATGAAATTATTGGAGAAAAAGTTTAAGTAGAGATTTGTGATTTGAACTGTATGAATTAGAAAGTTTTAACCACCCCCAAAGAGTTATGTGATGATTATTTCTCATGAAAATGATATTTTTGTATATATATGAAATATGCATTTAAGAGCTAAACAGTCGATGAGTGGATTAGTCTGAGCAGAACACAGAACAGGGAGTTTGTAGCTTGTGAAGGTGAGTGGAGGTACTTACCTTGAAGAAAACTTAAAATGTCAAACTTGAGTTTGGCAGAATCATTGAAGATTTTTTTATTGATACATAATACATATTTATGGAGTACATATGAGATTTTATTGCATGCGTAGAATATGTGTTACGTCAGGATTTGAGGTATCCATCACTTTAAGCATTTATTATTTCTATGAGTTGGGAACAATTGAAGTTCTCTTACCTATTCTGGAATATTTATTACATTGTTAAGTACAACCAGTCCACTCTCCTGTTGAACAATAGCACTTACATCTTTTATCTAACTGTAAATTTGTACACCTTAACTTACCTGTCTTCATCGCCTCATTAGGTATTTTTTAAAGAGGAAAGTTTCCTTACAATTTCTTATCTCTTAATGTCAAAACTAAGTCTCTCCAAGTGAGAATGCAGGACTGAAGATCATGAAAAATACGATCTACTTTTTAATTTTTATTTATCTTTTAGAGATGAGATCTTACTCTGTCACCCAGGCTGGAGTGCAATGGCACAGTCATGGCTCTGAAGCCTTGAACTCCTGGATTCCAGCAATATTCCTGCCTTAGCTTCTCAGATAGCTAGGACGATTAGGTGTGCACTACTGTGTCTGTCTAATTTAATTTTTTTTTTTTTTTGGTAGAGATGGGGATCCTACTGTGTTGCCCAGTCTTATTTGAAACTTCTGGCCTCAAATGATCCTCTGGCCTTAGCCTCCCAGAGTATTGGGATTACAGTAGCCTGCCTGTTTAAGTGTGAACTATGTAGTGAAAGAAAATGCCGATACTTATTAACACGTAGGCACTCAATGTTAGTTAACGTTTACTTTTGTCTTCAAAGATACTGTGACATCTTAGACTCTGTGACTTTTCACATATTCTTGGACAAATTGATCAAGATCGAGTGCATTAAGTTCAAAAGGTTGAGAAACCTGGAATATTTAGACTTAAGATGGGTTGAGGTTACTGAAAAGTTTGGTGATAACAAAATACATGTTAAGGTATAGGATTGTCTCTCTCTACTAAAGCGTCAGGTAATTTACTAAAAAGGTTTATTGCTTTCTGTTTCATGAATTATACTGCTATATTCAATAGGTTGAATTTTGCTGTTTATTTGAAAATGAATTATAAATATTAAAAAGTAGAGACATTATTAAATACCATTTGCTATAATAAATTGTCATTTCCTCTGTGGAATGTCAAAATTTATTTAAGAATCATGAGAAGGCAAGACAAATTTAGAAGAAATTTGCTTAAAGACTGACTTTAGTGGGACTAAATTCTCTTCCAAGAATATCCTTTTTTAATTTATTGAATAGAATAAGTAACCTTAGGCTTATTTCCATAAAAATAAACTTAAATATTTGCTAAAAGCAATATGAAAGATTGCATTTGTTGTATCATAACTGAGCACACTATTTTATCAATAAGTAAAATGCTCTCTATTTAGTTTTTATGTGCAATTAAAATACCTGAAAACAATCCAAGGTCTTTATTTTTATAAGAAAAAAGCCAACACATTTTATTGGTATGTGTGTTGCTGAAGCAAGCACCAATACATTTTACTGGGAAACTTAGTGTGCTTGAGAGAAATTTTTAATAGTGAAATCAATTTACTTTTCAAATGATATAACTAGATTTGTTACATTTTGATCTCTTAATTTTCAAATATTTCATTTATATTTCCAACTTCATCAATATTAGTCTATTTTTTAGTGATATTGTAGTTATACAGGACACTGGGGCTGGAGTGTGATTACTCACACCTATGATCCCAGCACTTTGGGAGGCCAAAGTGGGAAGATCTCTTGAGACTAGGAATTCAAGAGCAGCCTTGTTCCTATCAAATAAAAAGTTAAAAAATTAGCTGGGCATGTAACTATAGTTCTAGCTACTTGGAAGGCTAAAATGGGAACATCACTTGAGCCGAAGAGTTCGAGGTTAGAGTGAGTTTTGATCATAGCACTGTACTCCAGCTTGGTCAGCAAAGCAAGACTCTGTCTCTGAAAAACAATAAAAAACTAAAAAAAAATGGCCGATGGGGATGATCACTTGGGTCTGTGGATCTAGGGATTTAGTGGAGCCTGAGTTACTTTTAAAGGTTGAAAGGTTGGAAATGACACAGGAGAGAGAGAGAAAGTGTGCTGGCCGGTGGTGCTGGAAGAGACAGATTATCTCATGTGCAGTATACACTCAGCTCTGGAGTTCACAGGTATGCGTCAGCCTCTGGGACAATTCCATTCTTTTTGTAAGGAGATTTAAGAGGTACATCAATCATTTATTTAACTCCTGTAACAACATATATGGAGGTATGTACAAGTGAAAAGATGTAGTCTGGGATTTGCTTGAAAATAATTCAAGTGAGGGAGGTAGGAAGAGTGAGTAGACGGATCAGTGGAACACAAGGACTGGTCATTAGTGGGTCACTTTTGAAGCTGTATAATATGTGACGGGTTCATTATGCTATTCTCCCTACTTTTGTATGTGTGTATGATAATTTCCATGGCACTAGATGAAATCACCTAATAAGGAAATACAGCAAATGAGGAATGCCCCAAAATGGAGGTTAGGAAGGCAGGCAGTGCTAAAAAATTTGTGTTTAGTAAGATTTCCTTAAAATGAAGAAAACAGCTAAATAAAAATTTGTTGTTTCAAAGACCCATAATTGTGACCCAGGACTTCACTCTCTCCTACGGGAAGTCAGATGCACTTATAGGGTAAAAGTGGTAACAGACTTTCAGGTTCTTGGTCTTGGTGATTTGAAGAATAAATCTGCGGACCACAGATCAGTGGCAAGACAGAATTTATTTACAGAAAAAGGATAAAAAAACACTGAAGTGTCTGGTAGGGAGAGAAAACCCAAGTTGGGAGAAAAAAGCTCTCTTCGTTTTTCTCTCTCCATCTCTCTGTTTAGCAGTATATATAGGTGCATGGGTTCCTTCTATGTGAGGCCAGGAAATGAATGGACACAGTCTCTTCCGCTGGGGCAAGGTGAATGAATGTACTAATGAATGGACACAGTCCCTTCTGCTGGGGCAAGGTGAATGAATGTACTAATGAATGGACACAGTCTTTTCTGCTGGGGCAAGGTGAATGAGTGTATTAATGAATGGACACAGTCCCTTCCTCTGGGGCAAGGTGAATGAATGTACTAATGAATGGACACAGTCTTTTCTGCTGGGGCAAGGTGAATGAGTGTATTAATGAATGGACACAGTCTCTTCTGCTGGGGCAAGGTGAATGAATGTACTAATGAATAGACACAGTCCATTCATGGAACCGAGGCCTAGGAAACTTACATGAAATTGACCTAGGCATAGGAAATGGGGGTTCCCTATTTAGTCTAAAGTGCAAAGGGGAAGGAGACACCATGGTGCCGGAGTGTCGGGTCCCTTTGGCTACTGGAGCCTCTGGTGGGGGAGGGTGGCCACCCCTTGCCTATGCTCCAGCCGGCTGGTTCCTCTGCAGGCTGCCGGACCAACACCCACTAAGGCAGAGGTGGCAGGTCCTCCAGCCCAGCTCACTTGACTGGCTGGGGCACCTCCCTCCTGTATCAAAAGGAACAAGCTCTTATCCTTACGTCTGTTACTGTTCCTGAGTAAGAGTGCTGTTTGCAAAGAACGTTGGCTTTGTCCCAGGGCAAACAATAACTCTTTCTCATTTTCAGGGGCTTAATAATGCTCATGAATAAAGCAGAACAGCCGGGGATAATTTAAGAGTTTGTTTCTCTTTGGCTGTTTT